ATTTCCTCTCTTCCATTCCTCTCTTCTTTCCATTCAACTGCCTTTGCTCTTTGCTCTTCTTTAAGAAGCTTTCTTCTTTGCACCTCAAGTGACTCAGTGGCTGCCTTGCGACCACTAAGAGGGGGGGGAGGGGAGTGCCAACAACTCCCCTTGTGCCTCCATTGTCTCCACAMTTAAGGGATCCATTGAGGTGCTCACTGGTTGCCTTGYACCCATTAAGAGGGGAGAAGAGCCAACAACTTGCCTTGTGCGTCTGTTGTCTCCACCCACMTTGTGCCTCCATTGTCTCCACTAACAGGGGGAAAGTGCCATCAACTTGTCTTGTGCCTCTGCTGTCTCCACTCCTAAGGGATCCATTGACTTGCCTTKTGCCTCCATTGCTCCCAYTAAGAGGGGATCAATTGACCWGTCCACTGTCCCTTGCTTGCACTGAAGAAGAGACCCATCCACTTGCCAACACCATTTGCTGYTTCAACAATCAGCCTGATGATGGGTCCRTCTCTTGGTYGTGTTTGTTGCTTTGCTTCTTTTAACTCACTTTTCCACCCCCTGAACCTTTCTAAAGCAAATCAACAAACAGCAAGATGGTGTCAACTGATGTGATGGAGCTCCTTGAAGCGTTTGTTGCTTTGCTTCCTTTAACNGAAGCTTTAGTATATTGTTATTGTATTTGCTGTCCCATTTCAGATTCTACAAGTCAATGTTGCTATTTTGTTGCAGTTGATCACCAATTTCTAACCGTATACTAGTACGCGTTTCATAACAATTGAATACGGTCGCAAAAGAGAGCAAAAAGTAATAATTTCAAGTTCTTAACTTCGATTTGAAGTTATCAACTTTTGCTCATACATCATGTACAAGTTAATTGGTAATAAAATTACACCTAGAATTAACGATTTTGGGCCACATCACTACTGTAACTTTGGCTGACTAGCTCTAAGCCGCTAGAGCATCCTTTGGAATCCCAATGACCTGGATCTTTAAGTAATTGTATCAACTTGGTCTGGGCGCTTAGTCTGGTGGTCTAAAGTTGTTTTTTGATAGAGTTCTGGCCTATTTTCTAACCAGTAGCCGGTCTCCACTGGCCAAATTAGGCCATACCAGCTGTTAATGGAGAACCGGCTCCACCCTGGTCCCTAATCATGTAACAATGACACACAGCACTCTTCTTAACACTATGACCGAGCATATCCCCARAGGTGATCTCATTAGAGGCCTTTTCGGAGCTGTTGTGTTTAGCTTATTTTACCGTATTGGGCTCTTTGTGGTGGAAAAACTGACCGAATAGTWGTAGATCTATGTAGGATCAGTACTAAATACTGGGCTTCAAAATTAACAAAATTAAACGTGATTCTTACTAGTAAAATTCTCTGGGTAAATCCCTTGGAGTAAAATTACTTTTTTTCAAGTAGAGTGCGGTAGGGTTCTTACGGTTAACGCATTTTATTACCGATTAACTGGTACCAGGTTCTACTGAGCTAGTTTTTTAATATGACTGAATGACCGAATCACGATTCCCCTCAAAACAAAAAAATGGTTCAGGGCGATTGAGGTGATTCAATCATGAATCCGGCCTTTCAATCATGAATGCAATCCAAAAACTAGCTCAGTAGAACCTGGTAGACTTTCTACCAGGTCATTTTGAAGYTSATAACTTCAAATCGAAGTTAAGAACTTGAAATTATTACTTTTTGCTCTCTTTTGCGACCGTATTCAATTGTTACGAAACGCGTAGTATAGGAAATACAACAATACAACAATACTACTTTTCTATTCTTCTAGACCTCAAGTCATTTTCTTGTCACTGATTTCCAATTATATACTTCAGAAAAGGCTTTTCCATATTTGCTTTTCTGTTTGAAAAAAGTAGCCCCRCAACTAGCAGGGACAAGGCCACCATTCATCTTGTTGCTGGTGTGCACATACTATTGCAAGTATGTCCCCTTTGTTATTTTCACACAATAATTTCACTCTTGATTTCAGTTCAGTTCCTRATTTCCTCTCTTCCATTCCTCTCTTCTTTCCATTCAACTGCCTTTGCTCTTTGCTCTTCTTTAAGAAGCTTTCTTCTTTGCACCTCAAGTGACTC